ATCTCAAGGCAAGAAGTAAGAAACCCCCTCGGGGAAACATGGAAAGTTACAACAGACTTGAGGATTCTCAACAGTGGCTAAAATAAGGCATAAATTAAGGTGCGAATATAGTTTCAACACACCCAATGGGAAATAGACCACAAGAATCTCAGGGAGCAAGGCAAATTAAATAAGCCACCGGTGGAGCTCTCAGACAGGGCTTCCACAATAGAACCAGCGAAGGAAGGAAATGGCATGATCTCCTTGCACATGCTCTTCCCAGGACAGACTTGGAATGATGTACAGGGAATATCTCCTCTAATGGTACTGCTGCTATGATATTCCGCAGATGGGTGTACTCACCTATCTGTTTCATCACTCAATAATGCTCAAGATTTCAGTTAGCAAAGAGGTTTCCCTTTCAGCCTTATAACCATTTTTTTTAAGAAAAACCCTTAAAGTGCTTACATCCCCTAGGAATTCATACACACCAATATAAGTACATTACAGGCAGCCAAACTTATCCTTAGGTCTACTCCCATGTCAATGTCTGAGACACCATGGATGATCCAACCCTTCTACATATTTGAGCAAATTCAAAATAGCATTAACTTTATGTACTGAGACTGGAAACCAAAAGAAAACTGGGATGTTTGTTATCTTTCTCCTGTTTTCCCTTTTTGTTCATTCTATCACTGTTCTGCATCTACAGATAAGGTGAATGATCCATAAAACCAAATTAATGAGCATGAAGAATAAGATTTCCCATTGCATTTGATAACGAACATATTGGAAAATATGTCCTACAACTAAATTGTAAATTATTTGTGAAATTCATTGATCACACTTTCCAAGTGGCTGACTAGTAGTTTTCTTAAAGTTTGTCTTTGTTTTCCTTTTTCTGTTTGTATGTCCACCAGAGTGATCTATAGCTCAAAGACATGAAACTCAGCCTTCTGGACTTTGAGTAAAAGTCTGTACTTTGAGCTCTGAATCATGTTGTTGCTTTGTTCCAGGGAGAAGTGGTTGTTCTCTGCAACATTGCTTTCTCAAGCTTATTGAGAAGGGGGCTTTCTTGTTTAGAAACTGTAGAATGCAGAGAGGTCAGATAATGGAAAACCATTTCTCATGATTGCTCGACATAAGTATCACTAATACAGATTGGTTCAACCATTCATGAAGTCTTCGTCTTAAAAAATATTCTTCAAACTAGGAGGTATATAGAGACAAATGTTACCTATTCTTGATTTATTAACTATCTAATCTGACATTTTCCTTTATAACAACCTACTACCCAGCTCTTTTGTTCATTAACAACCTACATCTGGCAATAACAGACACCAAGGTGCAAGGCAAGAGTTATGCAGGCTATGATGGTTAAGGTTATGTATTAACTGGCTTGGGCCATGATTCTCAGTGGTTTGGCAGTTATATAATAATGTAATGGGGCAGTTTTAATGGCATAATCATCCTCCCTTTTGTGATCTGGTGTGGTCATCCTCTTTTTACACAATGTCAATTTTCACATAAAGAGCTGGCCTTTGTTTAGCAGACAGCACAGAACTACAGGCTCTACCACCGAAGTTCCTTATATGCTGGCGTTTGGAACATAGCCACGTTGGTAAGTGAGGAAGGTGTGTATCTGACCATCTTTCAATTCCCTTCTCTGCTTGTTGTGATGTCCATTAGACCAGAATCGGCTTCGGCATAGCCTGCTAGAGTGATTATAGTTGCTTCTTCTAGATGCCTTCCTAATTTGGTGAGTGTGCAGCTGTGGCATGATACACTTAGATTTTTTTTCATATAGCCACATTAAATAGAAGGTATTTTTTAATTTTTTTTCTCTTTTCAAAGAGTACTGTTGTTTATATACCGTTACCTTTTGTTCAATACAGGAAACAAAGTTATTCTACTCACAAACTATATCTTCCATGAAAATTTTATTTATGGCAAAAAAACTCTCAAAATTATCCTCCAAAAAATCTTCTAGGCATTTAAATATAGCTAATACTGTACTCTCTGAGTTGAACGTTGTTCTTAAAAAGAAATCTTTAGTAATGATCTTCTGAAGAGAACAAGAACTCATGAAACACTACACAACATGGATGAGTTTAGAGAGAATTAGTCCAAGTAAAATAACTCTGTCACAAAGACTATCTAAGACTATTGTTATAGGTAATGAACATTGCATTGGAATAGAAGAAGAAAAGGTCAATCTAAAATGACCTGACAATCAGACTTTGTCTGTATTGCATTTAACAACCTGAACAGGGTACCTATAACTTGTTGGATGGGCTTGAGGGGACAGTTGTAGATTTACACATAGAAACAATTGTAGAGGGTTGACAGTGATGGGTGGAGAAGGAGAGGGAGCAGAGATTAGCAGATGAATGGGTAGGGTGAAGGGAAAGGGGGAGCAGTGAGGATTTGATATGACATAATTGATGGCATTGATTAATTGTAATTAATGTTAGAAAACAAAATATATATGATTGAATGAAAATCAAGTTTTTAAAAAGGAAACAAGGTTATATTTTGTAAATTGGATGAATCATGTATCTTTGAAACAAGATCTTTATTATCTAGTATTCTGTTATTTGGGGCTCTGGTTTTTAAGTGGACTAAAAATATTGCTAATAGAGCATGCGAAGGGAAACTTGTGACAATACTGATAAAGGCTTTAGAAAATAATTTCCTAGTGATTATCATTTTCTTCTCAATATATTCCATGTTATGATGATCCTTAATTTTATATATATATATAAACATATATGAAGAATTAAAAATCAATTATTATCCCTTTTGGTAACAATGACTATTTTAAATGCTAAAACAAAAAGATTAAATGCCACATTGAATATATGCTAAAGGGTCAAACAAGTTAAAATAAATTTTAAATGTATATAAAGAATTTAATTGTTTTTATATTTTTATAGATTTTTTTCTGATATCACTAGATATAGTAATAATAATAATAGCAATTTAGACAGAAAAGAGATTCTTCTGTTGGAAATGGCTCCAAGAAGGAAAGAATCTAAAATAGTGTAAAAGCACAAGTCATTCAAATCTGTAGGAAGTCTTGGATTCCTATCTATTTAAAAATTCTATGAAACTATATGTATCATCACATTTCTATTTTAATACATCAAAACAAAACATCACAGCTAATAAGTTGATTCCAACTCCTAGTGACCTTATAAGACAGAGTAAACATGTCTGATAGGGTTTACAGGGTAGACTGCTCCTTTATAGAAGCAGACTGGTACATATTTCTCCCGCCACACCTGGTGGATTCAAACCACCAGACTTGCTTAGCACTGGACACTTATCACCAGGGTTGCTTTTGATGTTGCTTTTAAAAAAAAAAAAAACCCAGGCCCTCAATACTGCCAAAAATGTTGATTTCAATTCACAGTATCCCTCATTAGGTTTCTGAAGCTGTAAATCTTTTCAGGAGGAGACGGCTCACCTTTATTCCTGTGAGTTCCAACAGTCTTTCAATTAACAGCCCAACAGGTAACACACCAACTACTGGAGTTCCTGATATTAACAGCACAAAGTAATTGCTGCAGCCTCAACAACCTGCACTATCCATATGACACAACCTTGCTCCATTTAAGTTAGGACTTGAAGCACTTGCTGCAGAAGACTAAAGACTAGAGCCTTCAATATGGATTGCATCTCAACGTCAAAAAGACAAAATTTCTCACCACTGGTCCTATGAGTAACACCATGACAGATGAAGAAAAGATTGAAATTGTCAATGGCTACATCTTACTTGAATCCAATCAATAGTCCTGGTACCAACAGCCAAGATATTAGGAAACATGTTACATTGGGAAAATCCACTGTCAGAGCATGCACTGAGGAGCAATGATATCAGTTTAATATCATTGATATCAGTTTGATATCATTCAGGCTATGGTCTTTTCAATCACTTGCTATGGATCTAGGAGCTGGACAATGAATAAAGATGACAGAAGAATTGCTACTTTTGGGCTGTGATGTTTTAAAAGCGTACTGAATATCCCCCCTGGACTGTCAAAAGAACAAACAGATACCTCTCAGAGAAAGCACAGCCAGAGTGTTCCTTATAGACAAGAGTGATAAAGCTTCATCTCAAATATTTTGGGAGTGTTGCTAAGAGAGGCTATTCCTTGGATAGGGATACCATGCTTGGATAGATGGAGGATCAATGAAAGAGAGGAAGACCCTCAAACAGATGGATTGACACAGTGACTGCAGCAATGGGCTCAAATGTGTCAGAATTTATGAAAATGGCACAGGATAGGACAGAATTCAGATCTATTGTTTAGAGGGTCACTATGGACTGCCAAGAAAACAAACAGATTCATCATAGAGAGGATTAAATCAGGCTGCTCCTTGGAGGCAAGGATTCTTGGGCTTCGTCTGACATACTTTGGACATGTTGTAAGGAGACACAGGCTTTTAGAGAGGGACATCATGCTGGGTAGAGTAGAGGGACAGCGAAGGAGGGGAAGACCCTCTATGAGGTGGATTGATTCAGTGACTGAGGTAATCGGGATGGGTGTGTCAGAGGCAATGAGATTGGCACAGGATAGAGCAGGGTTTAGGGCTGTTGTGCATAGGGTCGCTATGAGTCTGAAACGACTCGACGACACATAACAACAACAACAACAACAATGAGCCATACTCAATTTAACAGCACCTAACAAGAAGAAAATGCTGTGCGTGGACAGTTTTAACTGGGGAGAAAAAAAAATAGATCAAAAACAAACCACTTTCACCTCTAGTTCAAAATTTCTTCATTTCAAAAGACAAAATTTAATTTTTTTCCCTCTGGACAGAAGTTCAAGTAGCCTAGAAGTATATAAAAAATAAAAGTCAAAGAACTCTTTCAGAACAGGGAAGGATCTGTTCAACACTTTTTTAAGAATATCTATGTTTGCTTACACAAATCAAACTTTCTGTCCCAGGAAAAACGTAAGGCTCCTTAGCAGCAAAGTGAACTGTCATCTCTGTCTTCTGTCCACAGTCTGGAGACCATGAACAACTCCGGAATATCTACTGTTACACAATTTGTCCTGCTGGGCTTCCCTGGTCCCTGGAAAATGCAGCTCGTCCTTTTCTCAGTGATTTTGCTGATCTACCTCCTGACTCTGACTGGAAACATGGTCATCATCTGTGCAGTGAGGTGGGATCCACGACTCCACACCCCTATGTACACCCTCCTGGCCAACTTCTCCTTCTTAGAGATCTGGTACGTGACTTGCACTGTTCCCAAAATGCTGGTCAATTTTCTTTCCAAAACCAAAACCATTTCCTTCTCTGGCTGCTTTACCCAGTTCTACTTCTTCTTTTCCCTGGGAACAACCGAATGTTTTTTCCTCTGTGTCATGGCTTATGATCGGTACCTGGCCATCTGCCGCCCACTACACTATCCCTCCATCATGACGGGCAGGCTCTGTGGAATTCTTGTATCTCTTTGTTGGGTCTTTGGTTTCCTTGGGCATTTAATTTCCATTTTCTTCATTTCCCAACTACCTTTCTGTGGTCCTAACATCATTGATCACTTCCTATGTGATGTCGACCCATTGATGGCCCTGTCCTGTGGTCCTAAACCAATTATAGAGCGTGTGTTTCATTCTGTAAGCTCTCTTATTATCATTCTCACCATCTTCTACATCCTTGGGTCCTACACCCTGGTGCTCAGAGCTGTACTTCAAGTCCCTTCTTCTGCTGGTCGGAGAAAGGCCTTCTCCACTTGTGGATCCCACTTGGTGGTGGTATCTCTGTTTTATGGAACTATAATGGTGATGTATGTGACTCCCACATCTGGCAATTCAATTACTATGCAGAAGATCATCACACTAATATACTCTGTAGTGACACCAGTTTTAAACCCTTTCATCTACAGCCTCCGCAACAAGGACATGAAATATGCCCTCCAACATGTCTTTTGTGGGATGAGAATTACTCAAAAGTCATGAATAGACTGAAAAATTCAATGAATTTATTATTGTAAATGGGCGATCAATCCTTTTGCAATTCAAACTTATTTTGTTTGTTCATAACCATCACGGCTCATTTGTGCAAAGTACATTTCACCATGCAATGATCAAATGTTGAATTCCTTTTACTATCAGAAATGTGTTTTTTTGGAAAAAGATATTAACTCCCAATCAATACTAAAAAATAATTCTTAAAAATCTTAGTACTTACTTTCAGTAATTATTTGAATTTTCTTAATGTCCACACAACTTTAGAAAAATAAATTCATCAAATCAGCATGATATAGTATCACTTTTTTGAAATACCTATTAACATAACAATATGCCTGCTGTCTTATATTTCTGACAGAAATGCCACATATCAATGTTGCACATCTTAGTAGGTTGTGAATTAGTCTCACAACTTTTAGTTCATCATTTTCCTCAACAGTGTAGAAGGGAAACTGGAAGTTTGATGGAGGACAGTAGTGACAATCTCACTGATAAGAGTCAGTAGTGGTCTATATGATTTTTCTAAGCAAAGTGAGTGATACATCAAAAAACCTTTCAGAAGGATTGATTTGTTACCTAGAATTTAAGGGGAGGGGGAAGATGTCCATGGCTTCTATTGGGGAAGGGGGGACAATAAAACACCAAACATCAAGGTTGTTGAGGAGCTGACTCTGAGAACAAACTGGGAGAGATAAGCTACAGAGGGAGCAAACAGAATCTAATCAATATTAGAGAAAGTAATGACCACCCAGGTTGGTGTAGGTCAACTCCAGGGACTGTAACCACTTTAGACCAACTAGAAAGAGACTCCAACCAATACCTAAAGAGAGTGTATGTGGAGTGAACCCAGCAATAAGGAGGAAGTCTTAAATAGCCAGCCAGGAAAGCATTGCCCACATTCAAGAGATCACACTGGAGGCAGTCCCCAGCCCCGTGGTGCACCTGATCTGATCCATGGTATTTTCAATTGCATACTATGCTTCTATAAGTTGGATAATGAATAAAAATAACAGAAGAAGAATTGATGCCTTTGAATTATCATATTAGAGAACAACACTTGAATACCCCATAGACTCCCAAAAGAGCAAACAAATCTGTCTTGGAGGAAGATCAACCAGGATGCTCTTTATAAGCAAGAATGGCAAAACATTGTCTCGCATCCTTTGTACATGTTGTCAGGAAGAGTCGTTCCTTACTAGGAAAGGTGGAAGGTCAGAGAAAGAGAACCTCAACAAAATGGAGTGACACAAGGATTCTAACACTGGGCTTGAGCATATAAGAGATCACTGAAGGGAGTTCAAGTGGCCTAATGGCAAGAAAGTGTGCTGCAATCCCGAAGGCACAGAGTTCAAATCCACCAGATGCTCCACTAGAGAAGGAGGGGCAATCTCCTCCTGAGCCAGTTGGATCTGACTCAATGATACACAACATGAAAAGGGAGAAGGAAAAAAAAATTAGAGATCACTGAATCAAACTCACTACAGAAGAACAAATTTTAGTTTTGATAAAAGTTACAATTTCTGGTTTTAGACGATATTGAACTTTCTATAGAAATGATCCTTGAAAGCACAGTCTATACTGAACTTTGTAATGTCTGGATGAGGGAAGTATATATTAATATGAAAAGTTACCTTATCTTGCCAAGAAGATATATATGGTAATCATATTATCCAGATATGAAAACAAATCAAACATCAGAAAAATGTTTACAGTGGGCATAAATAATAAAAATAAATGTTCTTTCTATTTTCACCCTAAAAAGTTCAAATAGTGCAATAGTAGAGATGCAGATGTTTAAACATTGCTATCGCCTAAGAGAAGAAGAAGAAGACCCTCACCTAAGGAGATCCAGTAGTACTTTCTTGGCATTCCCCTTGGTTTAATTTCCCTGGACAAAGACAAACAATGCACTTCAGAGTGATAAGGATCTCTGAAAGGAACTGGAAAAAGACGTAGCAAATCTGCTTAAGAAAGTAGAAGACAACCTTACACTATCACCCATCAAAGTTTTGACTAAAATCAGCTCTAATTACTGAGCCATTTTTTTGCACTCATTAGCTGAAAGTAAGGCAGAAAATGTTATTTCTAGAGTTCAGTAACTTACTTGTGTCCCACTACTACTACTTTCAGATATTACATATTTAATTTCTCCTGTCAAATACCTATTCTTTTGTTAGAATTCAACTTAGAAATCATTTTCATTACAAAATCTTCCAAACACCCCAGGCTAGACATCGATCTCTCCTTGACGCATCAGAATACATCAAGTATCTATTCCAATTATTTTATGTATAGATCCTTTGAGGTGAGTCAATATGTCTCTTTCCCTAGACATAGATGTTTATTTAGCTCTTTTGCTAGTTTTTTTGAAATCAGGACTAGTACCTTAATCTATTTTCTCAGTCAGCACAAGGGAAGACAGTCATTTGTAGAACAAGATGAATGAGCTGTGCTGCAATCCCAAAGACACGTGGTTTGAGGCCACCAATTGCTCTGCAGGAGAAGATGTACAATCTCCTCCAGAGGTGTTAACTGCTTCTGAAAACCAACTGGAAGATCAGCTATGGGTTGGTTCTGATTATTCAGTCCACAACAACTATGAGTCATAGCTGACCCTCAAATGGGTTTTCAGAGGTAGTAAATAAAGAGCTGATTACCCGTCTTTCTCCCATGGAGCAGCTGCTGTATTTGAACCACATACCTCTGGGTTGGCAGCACAACTCTCTACCTCCAGAGCTCCCAACAAGAGAACAATTATGGCTAACACTGAGAAGAATGAGAATCCCAGAATACTTACTTGTGTTCATCTGAAACCTAGACCAAGACCAAGAAGCTGTTATCTGAATCGAATAAGGGGCCACTGCACAGTATAAAATCAAGAAATATGTGTGTCAAGGCTGTATTCTTTCTCCATACCTATTCAATCTGTATGCTGAGCAAATCATTCAAGAAGTTGGACTTTAGGAAGAAAAATATGGCATCAGAATTGGAGGATAACTCAATAACCTATATTATGCAGATGACACAACTATGCTTGCTGAACACGAGGACTTGAAATTTTTCTTGCAGAGGATCAAAGGCTACAGCCTTCTATATGGATTACACCTCAACATCAAGATAACAAAAGCCCTCAACACTGGGCCAACAGGCAACATCATGATAGAGGGAGAAAAGTTAGACATTGTCAATGATCTAAATCAAATGATGTGCAGATGTCCTTGACATCAGAAAACAAAGTGTTAAAGAGCAATGATGTCAGTTTAAAGACTAACTTACACCTGAGTTGATCCATGGTGTTCCAAATTACTTACTATGAACCTGAAAACTTGGGACAATGAAATAGATGACAGAAAAATAATAGATGCCTTTGGGTTGTAGTGGTGAAGAATATTGATATCCCCTGCCAAAAAGAGCAAACAAATATGTCTTAGAGAAAGTCCAACAGGATGCTTCTCAGTGGCAAGGATGATGAAACCATCTCACATACTGGAGGCATGTTGTTAGGAGGGGCCAGTCCTTGGAAAAAATATTTAGAAAGGTGGAAGGTCACTGAAAGAGAAGATCACCAGTAAAATGAATTGATACAGTAACTATAACAATTGGCTCAAGTATAGCAGAGATGATGAGGATGGCACAGGGTGGGTCAGTGTTCAGATCCACCGTTCACAAGGTCTCTACGAGTCATGATCAATGGCAACAAAGAACAACAATGTAGGGGGGGGCGGGGAACATGCCCACTGCATTTGTAGAAAGTCATTTACTTGTCCACTGTCTAAATGAGAAAAAAAACACAGAAAAGTAAGAAAGGGGGAAAGGGGACTCCAAGTAGCACTGTTCCTTCCAAAGCCAAATTGGTTACATCTCTTCTGGGTTTAAACAAGTTAGATGAAAGTCTAGATAAGGATTTGCCTCCAATTAACTAACATGTTTTAAAAGTAGGGGGCTCACATATCATCTTGCTTACAGGATTCTTTGATATGAATGACTTCTGATATGGGTAGTAAGCTCATTTCACCAAGGCACAAAATATTCACTGACCAGAAAGGAGGCAAAACAAAGGTGTCACTTCAGAGGGCGTTCTTTTGTTAATTCAACAGATGAGTGAGAGACGTAAAAGAATTTTTCTCAGTCAGGGAGATGTGAGTTTATAACATAAATGAAGTAAGCTCTGTGTAAATGTTCTTCTGTTCTACAGTGAGGCTGCCTTTAGTTCAGACGCTAGAACTATATATTAATAATAAAGAAACTTTTCTAAGGAGATGGGTAAGTGAAGTTTAAAGGAAACTAGCATAGAACGTTTTCCAGAGTCCATAATTGACTTTTATAATTGGCGATCTGAACTTTAGTCAGCTCAACATAGCAGCAAGCAGTTATGTTTCTGCCCAGCATAGCAATGTTATCTCCCTAAAGAATTAGAGAATAATTAGAATTAAATGTATTTCAGTAAAAAAAATCATTATACAGTTGTTTAGTTATTTTAGATATTTAAGAAACTTTTTTCAGATATTTATGAAAATGGTACATGATTTGTGTTATTTATTATACAAAGCACTTATTATTTATTATATTAACCGTATATACCTCCAGGATGAAGATATACTTAACCCATTTCTTTGTCCCTCATTTCTGTGAAGTATCCACTAACTCCAAGACCTGCTTGAGTAGTTAAAACCAAGGCTTCAACCACAGCTGAGAGTTATTCTAATGAGGTGGTTTGTGCCGAGTAGGGTCTGGCCACTCCAGAAATAGCTATGACTTTAGGCAGATCTCTTAAGAGGGAAAGGGAACTAGGACTGAGTTCCATCAAATGGCTAGTAATTCAATCAATCATGTCTATCTAAACCCCAATAAAAATTCTGGACACTGAAATGCAAGTGAGCTTCCTGGTTGCTGATAGGTAGATGTTAATGCACCAGTAGGGAAAATATACCCTAAGGACACAAAAGCTCTGTGTTGGGAATGTGTCAGGGCTTTGTCCTATACATGTT